TTGACCTTTCACGAACTAAAGACCAGGTTAGTAACTGCACCAATTTTGACTTTGCCTAATAGTACATATGGATTCCAAAATTACAGTGACAATTCATATAAAGGCTTGGGATGTGTACTAATGCAAAATGGAAAAGTGGTTGCTTATGCTTCTTGCCAACTCCGACCACACAAAAAGGACTACCCAACTCATGACCTTAAAGTAGCAGCTGTGGTGTTTGAAAATTTGGTGACACTATCTGTATAGTGTGACTTGTAAAGTGTATACTGACCACAAAAGTCTAAAATATTTCTTTACTCAAAAGGAATTGAACATGAGACTGAGACAATGGCTTGAGCTGATAAAAACTATGACTTGCAAATTTGGTATCATCTAGGAAAGGCTAATACCATTGCAGATGCATTGAGTAGAAAGTTAATTGGGAATTTGTCATGTTTGCTCATCGGTCAAAAATAGTTGTTACGTGGGAGAGGAATAAAATTGAAATTGTGTTGCATGAACATGGTGGAATTCTAGCCTCCATCTCTGCCTAGCCTACAATTATTGAAGAAATTAGAGAGAAACAGCTTAAAGATGAATTTCTGAAGACAATTGTGAATGAAATTGACTCAAAACCGAGGCCCAATTTTTGTTCGAAGACATTGTTCTGAAATTTCAAATAAGACATTGTGTACAGGATTATTCTGAATTGAGAAAGCGTATAATGACCGAAGCTCATAACTCCAAATTTGCTATGCATCCGGGGAACACAAAAATGTACAAAGATTTGAAACAAAACTTCTAGTGGCCTGGCATGAAAAAGTGTATTGCTGCCTTCGTAGCTAGATGTTTGCATTGCCAACAAATGAAAGCCGAACATCAACGATCTGCTAGATTACTTCAGCCGCTTCCAATACCAGAATGGAAATGGGAGCACATTGCGATGGACTTTATTATTGGATTGCCTCGCTTCTCCCGAGGAATGGATTCTATTTGGGTAATTATTGATCGTTTGACTAAGTCTGTTGACCTTTTTCCTGTGAAGACTTTTTATAATGCAGACAAATTAGCAAACATTTATGTGAATGAGATTGTGAGATTGCATGGTGTGCCAGTATCTATTGTATCTGATAGAGATCCTAAGTTCACTTCAAGATTCTGGCAGAGTTTGCAACAAGCTTTGGGAACAGAGTTGAGACTTAGTAGTGCTTATCACCTACGGACAAATGGTCAATCTGAATGAGCCATTCAAACCTTTGAAGATATGCTAAGAATGTGTGTGTTAGACTTCCAAAGGAATCGGGAGACCTACTTACCATTGGCTGAATTTGTGAACAATAACAGTTATCATTCGAGTATCGGTATGGCTCCTTATGAAGCTTTATATAGTAGGAAATGTCGTTCTTTGATCTGTTGGGCCGAGGTAGGTGATAGACCTTTGTTGGGACCGGAACTTGTGCTAGAAACGACTAAAAATGTGAAATTGATTCAGCAACATTTGAAAACTAAACAGAGTCGTCAAAAGAGTTACGCAGATGTATGGAGGTGAGATAGGGAATATGAAGTCGAGGATCATGTGTTTATCAAAGTAACTCCGATGAAAGGCGAAACGCGGTTTGGTGTAAAGGGCAAGTTGGCACCAAGATACATTGGGCCGTATGAAATCCTTGAGAAAATCATTTTGGTAACATATTGAGTGGCTCTACCTTCGATCATGGAGCAAATGCATAATGTTTTCCATGCTTCAATGCTCCTAGATTATTTGAGGGTCCGTTACATGTTCTTGAGCCAACTAACGTGCTATTGAAAGATGATTTCACACCTATGAAGAATGGCCAATACAGATTGTGAACCGCTAGATCAAAAGACTGAGAAATAAAGAAATTCTATTAGTGAAGCTTGATTAGCAAAACCACAGAGGGACATATGCAACATGGGAAATCAAAGAAGATATGATGAAGAGATATCCAGATTTATTTCCATTGGACCCAACGTTCTTCCAGACTGAAGGTAATTCGCGTTTGGAGGACCAAACTCTTCAAGAAGGAAAGACTGTAACAACCCCAATCCATAATTAATGTCTACTGCATGATTACGAATGCCTAACGAGAAATTAAGATGGAATCTCGAGTTAATTGCATTTTATATGACATTTGTCTCTGTCTGTTGTAGAATTATCTGTCTATGTTTCTATTTCATTATGCGAATTGAAGGCCTTATCGGCAGCTAATCATGAAATTGACTTGGTTTTTGTGTCATTTGGAATTTTAGAAAATTATAGTAGGGTCAATTGAAATTCGATTCGGAATCAAATAATTAGAATAAAATAATGACAACTACTTAGGCCTAAACCAAGCTTAATTAAGGAAACCAAATCAAGCCTATATAAGGCAACTTGTTGACTTAGAAGCATTAGATACACTTTCATTTCCTCATCTTTTGAGCTCAAACTTGGGGAGAGAGAGAGCGAGAGAGTCGGAAGAATTAGATTCAAGCTTGAGGATTGTAGAAAATTAGAAGAACTTGGAGGTTTTGGCTTGAAACTCAAATAATTAGCCATCTGGAGCATAATTGAAAAGCTAAGGAAAGAATTTACCCCTTTAGTTATGTAATTGAGATAGAAAATGTTAGAATTCAAGTGAATTGAGAGATAAATCACAATAATTGAGTTAAAATTCTAGAATTAAAACTCAAGCCATGCATGCATGCATATTTCATGGCATTTTGAAGTTATTTCCAAAGAATTTCCTCATACATGTCCTTATTTTGGCTTTGTTCTAAGAATTCAACATGCATTTGAGTTAAACACTTCATTTGATCATGTTTTGAAAGCTTTGAAGCCAAGATAATTCATGCATGTTGTCTTCATGTTTTGTTCTTTAAGTGTCAAGTTTGATATTGCACAATTGGCATTATTTTGGGCTTTGATTTTGTGAAATGATCCTTAATTCTTAATGTTTCACAAGTTTGGGCATGTTTTCTCAAGTTTTGAGCCCAAAGGATGTGTTTTAAAGCTTTGGAATTGAGTTTTACATCTTGAGCATCAATCTGGAAATTCTAGAATTCTGTATCACCGCTCGAGCGACCACCCTCTGCCTTGCATGTTAGTTCAAGCAAGAAGAAGTTGGCTTGAGTGTAAAATTCATGCTCCTAGAAGTTTTACAAATTTTGCAGGCCGTTTGAGCGACCAAAGTTAAGCTCGAGCGACGACCCTGTTTACTCAGTCTTGCACTCGAGCGACTGCTGAGTATCTATCGAGTTGAAAAATCATACAACCAGTACTTTTGCAGACTTTACAGGCCGCTCGAGCGACAAAAGTTACGCTCGAGTGAACTGTCATTTTTTAAAATTTTGGCTAAGTGTTTGAAAGCACATTTTAGCATCCTCATTGCATCATAGGCATTCTTAGGCCCTAATTAAGACATAATATTAAGGATGAGACTTAGAAACACACTAAGAGCGAGCAAATTATTTTTCGAGCATTTGTTTCAGTGTGTATCCGTTATCTGTTTGTATAGGGCACGCGTCATAAGCTATTTGATCTGTCTGCTTTGTCTGCCTACTTTTGGAGACATCTGTGAGTAATAACTTAGTAAAGCTATGTTCAACTTTATTTATTTTCTGTATGATGAAATAAGATCTGTATTCTGAAATGTTATATCCTGTACAATGAATGATTGTCCAATTTCTGAAATGTATTCATGGCATCCTTAGCATATCTATTAGCTGTTACCTGGTATTAGAGGTTCCATTATGTAACTTAATATATCTACAATCTGTTACTCGTACCAGAGGCTCCACCATAGAGTTCAGTATATCTATGAACTGTTACTCGAATCCAGAGGTTACTTTATGGAAGTGGTTACTCATAACCACCATATGTTCTGTATCTGTTCTGCTAGCGCTAATGGATGTGCCACGTATAAGTATGAACTCTGATTTTTGTATATGATTTGAATAAGAATATGAATATGGATCCGCTTCTGTTTCTGAGATAAATGTGAATCTGTTTTTCGAATCTGATATGCAACATCATTCATCAAAACCCTTTACTCTGTTATTATTCACTAGGCTCCCACTCACTCTATTTTCTATGCATGTAGGTGATCAGATGCATGACTAGGCTCAATAATGGCAGCCTAAAGATCTGTTTTGTGTCAACCAACCACCGTGTCTCCCGAGGAGGTTCCCGAGAAGTTTAATGGTCGAGTTTGTAAATTATGTATAAGTTTTCTACTTTCTTTATTTAGTTTGGACAAGTTTTGGTATAATCGTTCTTGGGCTAAGTCCTAGTTTGACTTTGTGTACATGTGATGGTGACGTAAGACTTTGTTAATATGACGTCATGTATGTGAGTTATAAGTTTAAAATTTGTCCCATGTATGTCTGCACAGCTCTATAGACTATATACGTTTTATATATCTGCTTCTGCTGCCCCTTATTATGTGATGGTTTGTTCAGAGGCCTTTGGTAACCCCAAGATTACTGACCGGTTACGACGCTAAATCTATAAGGGCGGGTTGGGGTCGTACAGAGGCATTTGCATATTTTAAAAAAATAGGGAGGTAAAGTGCTCAAAGGCTATACCATAGGGAGGTAAAGTGAATTTTGCCCTAATTTTTATTGCCTAAAGAAATGTTGGCGGATTATGAAGAAGGCTATTGTGCAATTTTTTTCTACATTTCATGAAAAAGGGAAATTATTGAGGGCGCTGAACTCCATGTTTATTGTGCTTATTCTAAAGAAAGATGAACCAGTGACACTTCCAGATTTTAGTCCTATTAGTCTTATGAGTAGCCTTTATAAGATCCTTATGAAGGTATTGGCCTATAGAATTAAAAAAGCCCTACCCTCCATTATTAATGAGGTTCAAATAGCCTTTGTGGGGGAAGAAATATTCAAGATGGGGTCCTCATAAAGTTATTAACTATTGGAAGGCGAGAAGAGGGAAAGGTTTGGTGCAAAAGTTGGATTTCAAGAAGGCTTACGATAGTTTAAATTAGAACTTTCTGTTTGCTTCTATGGAAAGGTTTGGATTCAAGGAAAAATGGATTGGGTGGATAAAAGAATGCGTGACTACAACCTCTATTTCTGTATTAGTTAATGGTTCTCTGACTAAAGATTTTATACCTGATAAAGAGTTAAGGCAAGGTGACCCTTTGTTGCCATTTCTTTTCATTATCAGGGCTGAAGTTCTTAATTTGATGTTCAAGAGAGCAAAAAAACCTAGGTTTAATCAAAGGAGCGGAGATTGGGAATAATGGGATGAATCTAACCGATCTTCAATTTGCGGACGATACCATCATCTTCTATCAAGCTGATTGGGGCAAGGTTGTAAACATCAAGAGGCTATTGCGTTGCTTTAAGCTTATTTCAAGATTAAAGATCAACTTTCATACGAGTATAGTGGGAGGAGTTAGGGTGGATGATAGTCTTTTGGATGATTTTTCTTTAGTTTCAAATTGCAAAGCTTATAAATTCCCAGTGAAATATCGAGGCCTCCCTTTGGAGGCAAATCCTAGGCTGAAAAAGACTTGGCAACCAGTGTTGCAAAAACTTAAATCTAAGTTGGCTTCATGGAAAAGAAAGTTCTTGTCATTCGGGGGTAGACTCACATTTGTCAAATCTGTGCTAAGTGCTTTGCCAATTTATTATTTTTTGATTTGCAGGGTGCTGGTGGCAGAAATTGATAAAATTCGGAGTGGTTTTTTGTGGCGAGACAACGATGTTGAGAAGAAGCTACATTTGGTAAAGTGGGAGAAGATGACTAAAGGGAAGGAGTTTGGAGGGTTAGGCCTTAGAAACATTAGAGTGATGAATGATGCTTTCATTTGAAGTGGTGGTGGAGGTTGGGGAGGGAAAGA